CCTGCTCAGTGGGGAGTCTGCTTCTCCCTCTGACCCTCCCCCCTCTCATGTGCTTGCTCTCTCTCATTCTCTCTCTCTCAAATAAATAAATAAATAAAATCTTTAAAAAAAAAAAGAGGAACAGAGTAATAAAATTACAGAAGCAAGTGTAACATATCTGGGGTGCTAATAATTCTATGCTGTTCAGAGTAGAGATTCTGTGTTGGGGAGTTAGTGGAGATGTTAAAAATGCATAATCTGTATAAAAGTCCCTCTTGAAAAAGCACTCTTCAACTGTGAGTTTATTATTATATTACTATAATGTAATCATCAGAAGACAAAACTGAGCCATACAAAGCTCCACCTGATTATGAAGAATCTTGAATGCTAGCTTGAAGAAGTCATTGTCAATGGTAGAACGTAATTTGGAACAAGGGCTGCAGAGAAAGCGGAGAGGTACACACACAGGTGGAGCAACACATTTTGGTGGTTGCAGGGATTTCTGTAGATCCTTTTTTTAAAGATTTTATTTATTTATTTCTCAGAGAGAGAGAGAGAGCACAAGCAAGGGGAGCAGCAGAGGGAGAAGCAGGCTCCCCACTGAGCAGGGAGCCAGATATGGGACTTGATCCCAGGACCCTGGGACCATGACCTGAGCCGAAGGCAGACGCTTTACCAACTGAGCCACCCAGGCGTCCCTAGAACACAAAATTTTTATTGAAGTGTTTCATATGCTGATCTGGAAGCGTGGCCTGGAGCCAGCGTGTGAGCTCTGGGACCCTGGATCCCCTCCCTCCTAGTGAGTGACGTCCCCTTCCGCTGCTTCGGTCTCATTTAGTCAGCTGAAGACCCAATAAGGCAATGCATGTGCAGTCCCAAATGTCAGCACTCCGTGCCTGGCCTTGTGCTCATCAGTGCTTTGCAGGCTCTATCTGACTTAACCTTCATAAGAACAGCGGTGAGGTGGGCACCAGTGTAGCAGTTTTGTGCAGGGGTGCAGGGGCCGGATGGAGGAGGCTAACTGGGCACACAGCAGAGCCAGGAGGCAAGCTGGGGCAGCCATGAGTCTGAAGTTCCCGCCCTGTGCTCACTACCCTATCCCAACTCTCCGTAGGGTTTTGGGGGCAGAACTCGTATCCGGCAGAAGCCAAGCGTTGCCCCTTCTGCACAGGTCCCAGCCCATGGAGCTGTGGGTGCTGAGTGCCCCTTTCCTTCTGGCCTTCTGACAGGTGTGTTTTCCTCCATCCCGGCCCGGCCCCGGCTGTGGCTCTGTTGGCCAGGATGGGGCTTGCCTGAAGGAGGCCAGTGCCAGTCACAGGGGCAGTCTGACAGATCTGAGTTTTCTAGTGCCCCCTGGAAGCCTTGAGAGAGTCACAGGCCAGACCTCGTGATGGGTGTAAGTCAACACCTAACTGCTCTAGGAGAAAGCAGGCTACCTGGGTAGAGTCCACCTTTCAGCAAGTGGTTCCTGAACCAGCCCGCTTTGTCTGGGCCCTTTCCAAGTCGAGGCACCAAACAAGGTTGTCATGAGAGGCAGAAAAGCAAAATGGTAAAGTTGAAGACTAGCCACTGGTCTCTGCCTTCTACCAACTGTGTGACCTTCAGCAAGTTAAACTTTGTAACCTAATGTCCTTGCCTGGCAAATGGAGATGATAATAGCACTTATATGTTGAAATGCATAGAATTATTGACAGAATTCAATGAGAAAAGCATTTCAAGTATTCAGCACGAGGCCTGGCCCATAGTAGGTGCTCAGTAAATGGGGCCATGCGGTGGCATCGCCATGGCCTTGTGTCTGGGGGATGGGTACAGGTTCGGTCTGAAAGGAAGCCTTGCACTGGGGTTGGGAGGATGGGGTTTGTAGGGCGTGGTGGGGGAGGGTGTGTTCTGTTGGCGATGTTAATGGGAGGGCTGAGGAGGGGACAGTCATGATTGATTGGAGCTGAGAAGAAACTTAGGGTGCTCTCATCCTCCCTCTCCCTCAATCCTCACCGAATAAGGTCAGGGAAGGAGGACCCAGTGACTCTCCAAAGATCAGTGGCAAAGGCGCTGGGCCTGGGACTCTGCCTGGTGCTTCTGCCTCGTCAGTAACATAATCTCTCCATCACAATCTTCCATCATCGCCATCCCAATCCCATTTTTCCTGGGTGTTCTCCTGCCAAGGGGAAATCAGAGTGAAGGTGAGAGGAACGCACCAGTCCTGACCAAAGGCCACCCTCCGCTCAGAGCCCATACAAGCTTCAGGGGAATCCCAGATGTGAAGGGGCAGGCTAGTCTGAGAGTGGTTGGCGGTTCCTTGGGAGAATTTGGGAGTCTTCATTATTTCATTTCAAACTTTTGTCCCTTTTATAGAGTTGATGGGGTGGGTGGTGTGGGTAGAAGGGGTGATGGCGGCAATCTGAGCAGGAGAGGACTGAAGTGGGAGGATTGTGGGAGAAAAGCAGAGGGGTTGGGGGGAGCGGGGAGAAGGCAGAGCAGCAGGCAGGCCGACTTCGGGCCTCATTATTCTGTGACACATCATGGGAATGAGCACTTGGCTTGGCTGCCACCTTGAGGAATTTTATGTTCTAGCATGTGGAGGTTTGGGGCACTGAATAAAAATACTGGACAGTGAGGACCATGCAGAAATGAGATATCCACAGAGCCACTTGTACTAGGAGGCAGCTAATATGGGGCAGGCGGGATGTGGAAGGAGGAGACCTGGCTTCAAGTCTTGCTTTTCTACTCATTAGCCTTGTAACCTTGGGCAAGTCTCTGAATGTCATTGGGCTTCAGTTTCCTCTTCTGTAGAATAAAAGTAAAAATAAAGCCCTTCCTTCCTTCCTTCCTGACAAGGTCATGGTGAGGATCAAATGAGATAATGGATGAAAAAGCCCTCTAATCTGTAAAGCCTTATGCAAATGTTTGCTGTCATCATCAGTGGGATGGGTAATAGGGTCAAGTGGACACAGTGAAAACCAAGAACCCGGTGGTGAAGGTGACACAACATTTAATCATCTGCCTGGAAGACAGGTCCTTTTCCCATCATGACCGGTCCAGGGACAGCCAGGCAGCTGCTGCCATCAAATGCGGTTCTTCTGGAACATACCATACAGGGACAACAGAGTGACACCAGCTTCTAAATCACTGTTCTGCAAAGCTGCTGATAGTTGGGATTGTTTGCTGAGGTGAAACCAGAAAGGCTGCATGTTAAGTTTGAGAAGCAGATGAAATGCTGGCATGTGGTTATATTAACCTCTTGTTAGATGAACTTCTCATTATTTATTAATGACAGCCACACCATACCTTGTCTTGGACAACATGTTAAAGAAAACATAATGTGTTCACATTCACTGAAGTGATTTGTCCAAAGAAAACCATTTTCAGAGCAGGGCAGTGTGGCCTGGGCTCTGGAATCAGGCGTATCTGGTTTCCATTTCAAATCCTTCGAGCCTCTTACTAGTTTTGAACCAAAGTCATTTAATTCTCCCAAGGCTTTGTTTCCTTGTCTGTAAAATGGGAATATTAGTACCCACCCCAAAACTCTTCCAAGGATTGTGTGAGTGAATATATGTAAACTGCTTAGCACATAAATAAATGCTCAATAAATATTAGCTCTTGTTATTATTAACCCAGAGGGACTAACTGAGTGTGTTGAATGACACCCCAGGCTTCCTGATAATGTCACCTTTGAAGAAGGGGCCCTGATTGAACCCCTGTCTGTGGGGATCCATGCCTGCCGGCGAGCTGGAATCACCCTGGGAAACAAGGTCTTTGTGTGTGGAGCTGGTAAGAAACAGATGACACCCTGGTTATGAGTTCATTAAAGGGGAATGTGGAGATCCCTCTGCTCATCTCATTCCCCCTCCAATGGCTGAAATTGGTCCTAGACTCTTTCTAGGCGGGGGAGGGTTACATGTCCCTTTCCCTCGGTGACCAACACTTGCCTAAATAAACCGTCTGCAGACATAATAGTAACTCAGGTTATTTCCCAGGCAACATAACCCTTTCGGTCATTTAAAGAATGCAATTTGGAATTATTTTTTAACTCGGCAGGAAACGAGGGACATATTTTTGGTAGTAAAGGGAAGGGCAACTTTTGGAACTCTTAAACCATACCAGAGAAGTGTTCTCCCGGTCCATCCAGGAATGAGGTGTCATGGCCAGTGGAAGGAATGGAGTCCGGCTCACTGTGAGCCAGCACTCTTGCTTGTTGGGGTCGCAGGTGGCTGCCTTCTTTCCTTCCCTGCTTCCAGCCACCCGAACAAACCTTAGCAGCCTCAGACTGAAACATTCTAGGTGTCTAATGCTAGGGACACAGACAGCATGCTCATGCTCCTTACGGATGTGATCTGGTGTTCCTCATACACTTTTTTTAGGTATAATTAACATATAACATTACACTAGTTTCAGATGTACAATGTAATGATTTGATATTCATATATATGACAAAATGATCACCATAATAAGTCCAGTTATCATCTGTCACTATACATAGTTACAAAGTGTTTTTTTCCTGCAATAAGAACTTTTTAAGATCTACTCTCTTAGCAACTGTCAAATATGCAATGTGGTATCATTAATTATAATCACCACACTGTACATTATATCCCCGTGATTTATTTATTTTATAACTAGAAGTTTGTACCTTTTGACCCTCTTCCCCCTATTTCACTCATCTCTCACCACCCCCCTTGGGCAACCAATCTGTACTCTGTATCTGTGAGCTTTGTGGCTTCATTTTGTTTTTTTAAATTCCACATGTTTGTGAGATCATACGGTATTTGTCTTTGTCTGTCTCACTTACCGCACTTAGCATAATGCCCTCAAAGTCCATGCATGTCACAAATGGTAAGATTTCTTTTTATGGCTGAATGATAGTCCACTGTGTACATATATACCACATTTTCTTTGTATCTTCATCCATGGGTGGACACTTAGGTTGTTTCCATATCTTGGCTATTGTAAGGAATGGTGCAATGAACATGGGGTGCATATATCTTTTTGAGATAGTGTTTTTCATTTTCTTCAAATCCTCAAAAGTGGAATTATTTGGATCATATGGTAGTTCTATTTTTAATTTTGTGAGGACTCTCCATGTTGTTTCCCATAGTGGTTGGAAATTTACATTCCTACCAAGAGTGCATGAGGGTTCCCTTTTCTCCACATCCTCTGCAACACTTGTTATTTCGTGTCTTTGTGTCTTTTTAATAGTAGCCATTCTGACAAGTGTGAGGTGATATCTCATTGTGGTTTTGATTTGTATTTCCCTGATGATTAGTGATGTCGAGCACCTTTCCATGTACCTGTTGGCCATCTGCATGTCTGCTTTGGGAAGGTGTCTGCTTAAGCGTGCCTGGCTGACTCAGTCAGTAGAGCATGCACATTGGGTGTAGAGATTACTTTAAAAAAAAAAAAAGAAAATGTCTATAGATCCTTGGCCATTTTTAAACTTAGATTGCTTGGTTTTTTTCTATTGAGTTGTAGGAGTTCTTTATATATTTTTTGGATATTAACCTCTTATCAGATATGATTTGCAAATATTTTTTTTTCATTTGGTCGGTTGACTGTTTCATTTTGTTGATGGTTTTCTCGGCTGTGCAGAAGCTTTTTAGTTTGATGTGGTCCCACGTGTTTATTTCTGCTTTTATTAGAAAGCGTTTGCCTTTGGGCTTAAATCCAAAAAATCATGTCGAGGCTGATGTCAAGGAGCTTATGGTCTGTTTTCTTCTAGGAGTTTTATGGTTTTAGGTCTTGATGTTCAAGTCTTTAATCCATTTTGAGTTAGTCCTCATACATTTTTCAGGACTGATTTTGACAGGGCCAAATAAATGACTACAGGGCTTTCTAAGAGAGGTGATGGGTATAGAACAGACTTGCCTCAATGAGCTAACACAGTGTAGTGTTCAAGTGACATATCTATGTTAAATCCACATAAGTAATGCCTTTTTGACATAGAAAAAGAAGTCACACATCCCACACGTGTACATACACGCAGAGAGATTCACCCATAGCTCCATCACCTATCAGCCTGAGAGAACCACTATAAATATTTTGATGTAGAATCTTTCAGGTTTTTCTAAAATGAGATCATGCTAAACACGCTTTATTTTATCTTTTATAAAGACAAAAATCAATATATTATGAACATCTTTCCATGACACTAGATAAGAGAGTTATGACACGATTTTTAAGAGCTATGTGGTATCCCACTATAGTTTGTTTAGCTAATCACCTCTGTTGATCATTTCAAGTATGTTCCAGTGTTTTGATTTTGGGGGAAACTCACAAAATTATTTTCAAAGGCACTGTCAAAAAGCCAATCCTCAAAGATAATCTGCATAGCTTCATTTTGTGGGTCTGGTTTTTTGTGTATTAAAACTGTGTCATCTAGCATGCAGATTCTGTGGGAAGCAGGTGGTCTCTGGGCTGATTTTTTAGGCACCTGAACAACTTGGAGCTGCTTGAGAAGCTGGGTCAACCCAGGGAGCCAGTTCTTAGAGGGCACCTGTAAAGGATGTGTCTCTCCTTGGGGAGATGTGATGGACAGTAAGAAGGTAGGGGTCAAAGAGAGAACAGGACAATGTATCCAGACCTTCTGAGACATCTTATTCTCTTAACAAATACATGTTTCCTTGAGCCCTCTGGTTCTTTGACATTACCCCAAGCAGTATCCAAGAGTAAATGGCAAATTTCCAGCTCTGAGGTCTGAGAGAATTAAATAGAACTCAGCACTAGGAGCAAAATTTCATGTAGAGAACAGTTCTTCATATAGTCATTTACTTATGTATTCGAACAGCCGTTAAGGTCTCACTATGTGTCAGGCACTGGGATAGACGCTAGAGGTGCACAAAAGATATGGTTCCTGTCCATGGCCTGGACAAGGGGGGGAGAGCTGGTGTTTAATATTGCACAAACATCTCCCATTTTCTGCTTTATTTAGGGCCGATAGGACTGGTCACTCTGATCGTGGCCAAGGCAATGGGTGCAGCTCAAGTGCTGGTGACTGGTAAGAAGGTTTTCTTTTTAAATCTTCTTGAAGAGGGGGTGCCTGCGTGGCTCAGTCGTTAAGCGGCTACCTTCGGCTCAGGTCATGATCGCTCCTCAGAGTCCTGGGATCGAGTCCCGAGTCGGGCTCCCTGCTCAGTGGGAAGCCTGCTTCTCCGTCTCCTTTTGCCCCTCCCCCTCCCTGCTTGTGTGCTCTCTCTCTCTCTCTCAAAGTAAATAGTAAATAAAAAAAAAAATCTCCTTGAAGAGGAAACAGCTGGCTTAGTTTGGAGCAAGGGCATGAGAACTCTTCCCTGCCTGGGGTGCTAGGTTTCTAAAGAGGCTCCTCCTTTTTTCCCCTGGGTTCCAGGGTTGAGAAGCCCACCCAGGGGATGACCACCTCAGGGCTCAGGAGGAGAGTCTTTTGAAGCTTCTGGGAGAGGGTAGATGCTATGGAGAAGAGGACCTGGCTCTTTATGTGTGGACCTCAGATGCCCCTACTGCTCACTTGGTTCTAAGAAGAGGCTTCGCCCTTGGTCCATTTGGCCAAACCCAGGAGGCACAGAATGGGTGCTCGTGTGTGTGTGATGTGGAGTTAGTGGGATGTATATGTTTATAAAAGGGTGTTTGTGTGTGAGGTGTGTGGTATGGGCGGGAGATGTGTGTATGTGTGAGGAGAGCTTATCTGTGACAGCGCACGTGGGTCAGTGTAGTATGTGTGGAAGCATGTAGGGTATAGAAGGATGTGTGTGGAGAAGACTCTGTGAGAGAGAATGTGTGTGTGTAAAGGTATCTGTGAGAGTGTGGGTGTGGGTAAGCGTGTAGAGTTGTGTAGAGTATGTGAAGGGGAGTAGGGATATAGGCGAGTGAATGTGTTTTGTGTGCAAAGAAGGTATCAGAGTGTGTGTCGAAGTTATCTGAGAGTGTATGTATGAGGAGCAGTTACCTTTCAGAGAGAGAGAGTGCGCGGCTGTGTGGTGTGTATAGGTGTGTGGGGGGGTGTAGAACAGTGTGGATGTTTGAGAAGTGATCTGAGTGACGGATGGGGGAAGGGGAGGGAGAGTGTGTCTGTGCACGGCTGTGTGGTGTGTATAGGGGTGTGTGAAGGTGTAGAGAGTATGTGTGTTGGGCTCATTGGCACCACCCACTACACTGGAGCTTCACTACCATTAAAACCTGCCCCTCCACCTTTTTCTCCCAAATCCACCATCCAGTTCCTCAGTTTGAAAGAAACTTTTGTTCCACTTTAGATCTGTCTGCCTCTCGGTTGTCCAAAGCCAGGGAAGTGGGGGCTGATATCGTCCTCCAGATCTCCAAGGAGAGCCCTCAGGAAATCGCCAGCAAAGTGGAAGATCTGCTGGGGTGCAAGCCGGAAGTGAGCATCGAGTGCACAGGGGCAGAGTCCGCCATCCAGTCAGGCATCTATGTGAGTTGGATGAGGGCGGCTGGTGCGCAGCTTTGGGGAATCAGCACAGGGTAGGCGGCGGTAAGGAGTGCTGGAATTGAGTGTCTCCACTACCTTACCATGTGACCCCCAGACAAAGTTTAGGTGATCTCGGTATCTCTGGTTTTTGTTTGCTTATTTGTTTTATCTCACTTGCTTCACATCCTTCCTTATTGGGTCATTGTGAGGCTCAAATGAGGTAACAGGTGTATATGGCCGTTGAAAGATGTTATAGGAGACCCACCCCTGAAGTGATCATATGGACCAGTGATCAAAAGGACCAAGAGTCCTTTTATGAAGAGTCATAAAAGGATTCTTGGTAAAAAAAAAAAAAAAAAAAAAAATCAACAGGAGGAATGGGAAACCATGCTTTAGTTGTGTGTGGGAAATCCCTATCTTCCTTTATTGAGGAAAACTGCTGTCTTTGAGTCACTGATACAAAGCAACAGCCATCAATTTAGTTAGTCACGAAGGTGGGGTGGTTTTTCAGGGACACAGTCGGCTACTACTCTTCTCTCCCAGACCTGGGAAAGAGTAAGCTGCCAATACCTGATTTGCCCCTCAGTGACCCACCCGGAATTTATGGGAAGTTGGTGGAAATGGGCGGTGGCGGGGGAGGGCGGGGAACACACAGGGGTGGGGAGTGGCGTTGAGGGATCCAAGTATGACGAAATGAGGGGAGAAAGAATACCTTCTAGGTTCCAGCCCTACCGTGTGTGGGTCTTCTGCTGGGGGCTTTGTAAATGTGACGTCAGGTCTGCACCGTGGCCATGAAGACTCGTTACCCCTTTCCACATTTTCCCATGGGAGGCCTGGTGGCTTGCCCCGAGCACACTGCCCCGACGTCTGAGCGTGTCTCACCCTGTCCGCCGCTTAGGAGAGAAGGGAAGCAGGGCCCAAGGAGCCAGTGGGCAGCTGTGCTCGGGCGAGAGGGACGGGGCTGAGGAGGGCGGTAGCAGGAGCTCCCACCCCTGGGCCTTCCTGCCCTGCCGCCCGCACTGCTGTCCCGCAGCGGTGCGGGCTTCCTCCTTCCTTCTGAGTCACAGCTGGGGCATGCAGAAGGGCATTTGCAGCACGCCAGACCTGGGGAAAGCCGACCTGGTACCCAGGCTGAGCTGCCTCGCCATCTTCCCACCAGGATGCCCCTGGCATCAGGGGTGAGGAAGGGGTGGGACGGGAGAGGAACAGGCGCCACTTTCTCTTGCTTTGCCCTAAGTTGCAGCTGGAGCCGGCCCCCCCTCTGCTCCACTGTCAGAGGTACCAGCTGCCTTGTGGCAAGGGGCAAAGAGAACCCCGAAACTCAGGGGGTGATGGGTCTGTGTGTGATCAGTCGACCAATGACATGTCTTGGGCACCTGCTGTGTCCTGGCTTTGTGCCGGGGCCCCTGGGGGCCATGATGCATAAGGCATGTCTGGCTGTCTTCAAGTTGTTGGCAGTCAGTGACTCCTCACTCCACAGACAGGCAGTAAAAGACATGGCTCCCCAATGCAAGACTTTCCTCCCCTTCTCCGCCGCCTGGAGGGCACTGGGAACAGTTGGCATCTATCTCCAGCTGTTGATGGAGGGGCCCAATTGCCAGGCTCCCTGAGGTGGGTGCAGAGGTAAATGTGACTCAAGGGCCTGCCCTGTCCTGAGTGAGGGGTGGGGCCGTCGTGCATGACAGATGCTTCAGAACACTGCAGGCCACCCTGCCAGTGCGCAGGTTAGGTCGAGGCACCTTACATGGACATACCTGAGAGCCACTTTCCTGCCAGATTAGTGACTAGAAAATGTTTGGGAGGAGACGTGGCAAAGGCTCAGGGTAGAATTCTTATCATCTTGGTGCAGAGGTCACACCCACAAAACAATGGTCAGGTAGTCCAAGTGTTCCTTTGTCTGTGGTCAGCAAACTGCTGGCCTCCCGGCACCTTGGGAAGGCCAGTCTGGCAGTGTTCCTCCTCCTTCTGACTAGGTGGAGAGGAGATGCTGATGGGGGAACAGTTTTCCAAGGAAATTTCTCACTCAAAAGAGTTTTCTGTGGCTCAGTCACAACTTTGATCCCACGCCCCACCCCACCTTTTCCAGTGGGGAGAGAGCCTCCCCCCTTACCAACAGGGTTCATAAGTCACAGGTGGTTTGTAAGTGACTCTGTGCTTCAGTAAAAACAGAAAACGTGCCAAACCATGAGCCCAACCAAGTGCTGAGCACTGTGATTGTTAGGCCAACCGCCCTGCTGGGGAGGCATCATCCTGATCTTACACATGAAGAAGCCGGTTGAGAGGGTCCCACAGCTCAAAAGTGTAAATTCCAGAGTCACCCTAGTGCTGCAGGCCTCTCTTCATGGTGTATCCTTCCCCTCAGAGATAGAGGCTGTGGTGGATGCCCCTTTGCAGCTCCGCTCAGTAAACTTAGAATGGTTCCAGTAAGTGCTTGCTCCTGCCAACTGTCATGAAAACTGAGGCAAATGAACTATTTTTCTGTCTCTCGCAACGTTGACCACAGTGATCTCCAAAAATCTCTGGAGCAGGCACAACACTCATGTGGAATCATGTGGAGATTATCGGGAGAAATTTCCATGTCTGGCCCACTCCAAGGAGGGAACTGATAAAGCAGATAGATGTTCAAGGAAGACAAAATCTGTTGTGATTGATGATACTATTGGGATGAATGTCACTGGAACAAAAATATTTCTAAATGTCAGCTAGCCTGAACGAATAAGGCAATGTTCAAGCCACAGAATTCTAGTGGCCCTCCCCATTTGTATGTGCTTGGTAGTTTCCTCACCGAGAGGGTGGTTCCTTAGAGGTTTGACAAAAGTCCTGTCTTTTGTGGCGTTGACATTCTGGAGGAGGGATGGGTGCTGAGATGAGGAGGTGCCTGAGCCAACACCTGGTACGGAATTAGTAAAGCTTTGAGAGATGCTCAGGGGCTGGAGGGGCTCCCCCTGTGCCTGGTCCTCCACTGGTAAAGTGTGTGACTTCAGGATCATTAAAGATAACTCTGCTGCTCTGTTAAGTTTGGTCGACATATGGAAGAGTTCAACAGTAGAGAAAGAATCATATTCTCTGGAATATTTGGATACTCACCTGATGCAAACAGATATTTATGTGACAAAAGTCATTTTGAGTGAGAAGTCTGTATTTTCTGATCTTCTGGGTTTTCTTGTTCTCATCTCCTCTTCAGGCTACTCGTTCTGGTGGGACCCTGGTGCTCGTAGGGCTGGGCTCCGAGATGACCAGTGTGCCCCTGGTGCACGCGGCCATCCGGGAGGTGGATATCAAGGGCGTGTTTCGATATTGCAACACGTGAGTATGTTGTGGGTGAGCCAGGGTGGCGAGCGGCCAGCAGGACCCCTGCACGGCCTCTGGGACCAAGAGTCTCTCCCGTTTATTCATGAAGGGCACTCCCTAGCCACACTGACAGCCACGTGTCATGGTAGGGATGCAAAGAGAGAGCATCACTCCTGGTTAAAAAACAGGAAGGCAGAGATGGCAGAGGGAAGGAGGGAAGGTGGGGGATCTTGAAGAATGCTCTTCTTGGGTATCTGCCCCTCATCACCCAGGCCCTCTCTTCTTCATTTCCTCAAGTGGCCAGCTCTTCATTTTCTCTCTTTAAAGGGAAGAAGGAGAGAAAGGGGGACAACAGCAAGAACTCAGGTCCCTTGGTTTCCACCCCAGAGCCCCAGGGCCCACCCTGGGAAGTGAGAGGGTCTTAGTTCACCCCACCTCATGCTCTGTGGCCCTAGCCTCTCCCCAACCGGGCAATTTTCCCAGGACCACCTTCCCCAGCAGTGTCCCTCCTCCCACCATTACAGTCTGTGGCCATTCCGTCAGCAGAATGCCATTTTCCAATAAACTCTGCCACGCCATGCTGCAAAGGGTTATGGATGTATTATCGTCGGCTGCCTCTCTGAGGCTTATCTCCCTTTCCACAGTGGCTTCCATATGCCTTATGCCTTCATGCCAAAGGAATTCTAGGCTCCGTGACAGACATTGCAGAGGGGTGGAGGCCTTTGGGAACAGACCCTGTACTCCCATATTGCAGGTCATAAGATCATTTCTACCACTGTTTGTAGAATAGACCTTGTAGAACCACAGCACTATAAATAAATATGGCCAAGCTGATCGTGTGCTTGGTGGTTTTGGGGACCTGGTTCTGTCCTCCTGTAGGTTGAATGTAACACTTGTGATCTCTTACAGGTGGCCAATGGCGATTTCGATGCTTGCCTCCAACTCTGTGAACATAAAGCCCTTAGTCACCCATAGGTTTCCCCTGGAGAAAGCTCTGGAAGCCTTTGAAACAGCCAGAAAGGGATTGGGGTTGAAAGTCATGCTCAAGTGCGACCCCAAGGACCAGAACCCCTAATATGAATTGGGCTCTGCCCTCATCCCTGCCCCACGCCAGTATCTCAGGGCAGGGGAAGACTGTGATGCAGAAGTTTTTTTTGAGTAGCAAGAATAATTAAAATAATTCATTATAAGCAGAGAGCCTTACACAGAGGAATTGGTGTGCCTTAAAAACACAAGTAGGGACAGTTTGGGGGAATTTGCAGCCGGAGTGACCTACCTGTTCAATAGAGCAAAGTTCAGCAAGTATAGCAGAGTTTGTTAGGCAGGTCCTGGGGAACTGCCCTTCTTCCTGGAAGGCCTAAATAAGGGAAGAAATCTGCCCGTTGGCTTCCTGGTTCCGCAGTGACTGGCCAGGTGGGGGTGGGAGCTAAGTTATGAAGAGACAACTTTATCCAGACTCAACTGGCACAGAAATTGATTTCCATGAAAAATCTCATTTCAGGGTCTGGGATGAAGGATTGTCAGCAGTTTTTAGAGGACAGCGTTTCTAGACATACGTGCCATTTGGTTTGATGATAAAAGGAGACTTTAAGGAACTGACCTGCCTGGATCTAGGATCATTTTTAAATCAATTAAAAAAAAAACCCAAAAACTGAAATCCCAAGTGAGGTCCAACCAGCTTGCATTCTCCAATTGTAGAAATAGTCAGGAAAGTTCTCAATACTGCTGGAAGATTGCCTCTTCTTCAACTCCCGAGAACTCTGTGTAACTTAAACTGCCTTCCCCACACTCCCCACCCCCACCCTTCTGCATTTAGGGGCCGTCACTGTGGGCTCCTTTGTCACTACGCAACCAGGAGGCTCCTTTCTTAAGGCAACAGTCAAGGGGAATCCCCCTGGGAGACTTGCCCAGGAGGGTTTGGCCAGTTGCACCTGTCTTCCCACCTCACAGGGTGAGCATTCCCTTCACACTCACTGATGATAGACAATTTCATTAAATTCTTTTTTTTTTTTAAAGATTTTATTTATTTATTTGAGAGAGAGAGAATGAGAGAGAGCACATGAGAGGGGGGAGGGTCAGAGGGAGAAGC